TCGTAATGAAGATTTCTAGATTAATTTAATAAAAATTAATGTTGTTCATTGATCAAAGCAAAAAACTATTTTGCTATTATCAATTTATTATCTTCAAAGTAAATCGGCACTTACAGTGGGATGCAATATTTTAGCTTAGCAGCGAAAGTTAAAGAATATGCTAAAGGTTAAGAACTTTAGCGAAGCATTCGCATTCAACGATCAAACACAATCGAATCCCTGTTCCTTCGCTCGAGAACGAAGCAATGTTTTCTAAACATAATTTAATAAATTTTATTATTTAATATTTAACAAATAAATTTTATTATTTAATACTTAATAAATACATTGAATTATTTAATGATTTTGGATGAGGAGAAGATTTTATTACGGTAATAAGAGACGAGAATTTTTGAATAAATCGGATGTTGCGTAAGCGCTACAAAGAAGTCAAACTTTTTACTTCGTACTTCATGTAGATGTCCATCTATATTTTTATTTCATGCAATGAATCATGTGCAAGAATATGGTGGCTAAAATCGTCTAATTCATTATTTTTTCATACAAATTCTAATAATTCCTCGTCATCCATGATCGTGTTCGACTGTCAACAGCTCCCAATCAAATTAAATTCGGTGAAGTTTCTCTTTAATTACCGGCAAACATATTCGACGATCAATAAATTTAGTTTAATCCTTTCCCCTATAATATCGAGTTAGAATTCGACAAATCGAAACGTTATTTATTTATTTTTCATATAAATGAAACATTACTTGTCTATTATCGATCCTTAATCTTTAGATTAAACATAGACATAGAATAAGTATCAACTTATTTTTGTTCTTTTAAATCTGTAACCATGAAGTAGTTTTATCAAGAACAGTTGTGAAAGAAATTATAGAACAAAGGGTTAATTTGACCGCACCGTCAACACTGAATGCTTTCGTTGGTAATATGTCATTACATTGGCAACGGTCATGACTGGCTATGTTCTGACTTGATTTGATCGAATCGTTGACCGCTACTGTGAATCAGGCTTTACAATGCCGCAACGAAAGCGTTTTCCCGTGAAACGTTCGCGCGGTCATTACACGAATCAAATCGCACGCACCGAAACGATGAGCAAGAGAATAACGATGCCCGGATTGTAAATTGCGATTATTAATTTGTACCGCTTTACCGTTTGTCGGTTCATTCTCGCGAGTTCTCGTGACAGTCTCGTACGTAGGGTTCTAATGTTGTTAAACGGCTCCATTTCGTCATGGACGAGAATCATGTATTCATTGTTAAAAAATTGGTTCACGATTTATAGGACAAATAATGCTTGCAACATTGAATAAATCTATTTAACAAACAGGCTTGAGTAGTCAAACTGTGACAGCATCTTCCTCTATGAATGGAGAAAAGGAAGAAGAGTGTTTTTATTTCAAACGGCGTTGTAGGGGTTTAGAATAATTGAAATAATATTGCTTTTATTATGGATAAAATTATGATAGAACAAAGAATGTTTTAAAAAGTTTATAAGATTAAGAAGTTCGATACTTTAACCATCGCGATCAATGGATGCTATTGTTGTTATTAGAATTTTATTTACACACTGAATGGAAGTGAAAAGTTTGTGGAGCGATGATTAAGTAGGTAAAAGGTGTTTCGCATCTTTTTAACCCTCTATAGACTGAATTTTGTTCGCGATTGTAAAAACATTTATATAACGTGAAATTAGCAAATGACAACCTCTAAATACAAGTTAACAATGTATTTAGCAGTTTTAATAGTTTCATTATAATTAATATGATTTGTTATTTTGGAGTTATAATAGCATGCATGGTTTATAGTTGTGTGTATAAAAGTTTAAATTAATTTATTACTTAATTGCAATCGCCTTATTATGACCAAAAATAAAATAAATGATCAAGGTGTATAGTGATAATAATGTAACCTGAAGGTCATATCCGGTTATGGGGGGTTAAATAAGTTAACTAGTAGGCGAAATTTGTACGGAGATCGCTACGATAATTCAATGATAAAAATGTTCGACAATTGAAATGAATGCAATTGATATTTTATATTTAGGTATCTGTTTAGTTTCAAATAAAGTTTCAATAGATACTTATTACATACACAGTTATGCTTCATTCCTATATATACGTATTGGAACTATTTGATCACCAAAGCTGCAAAACTTTGTATAATTATGTCAAAAGTGACTTCATAGTAAAACATATAGATATTTGTAACAACTTTTCATATTCAAATTTAATTAATATAAATTATCGCGACTGTTTTTTCGAACATTTGTTTCCTCTCTTGCGCTTATCTTTTACGGTAAACTGAGAAACTAACATTACCAGAATCAGGAGCAGTTTTAGATTTCAATACCTAGTGTCAATCAAAATACTGTTTAATGCATTCATAATTTCATGTTTGTACAATGTGTTCTACTATAAATGTTTCACATTTTAAGAAAGATTTAAAAAGAAGTGTTTTGAAACCTAAAACTGTTTTTCTTTCAAAGAAAGACGCTTTCGTTATCAAAATTTAAGATGGCGCCTTGTTGTACAGTTATCGTTAATATTTTGATCAAGTTAAGCATTATTTTCCAATTGAATTTTGTAAGTATTATGCATCCTATAAATTCACGAACCTTTTTTCGACTCATTACGTTTAGAGAATTTCAGATCTGGTTTAAACAAAATTCATCAGTTTTTCGTTTACGATAAGGAAACGTTTCTACGATTACTTACTTGCTTGGGATTTGATCCACGCTTACACATCTTAAGCCGCTCGATTCTACAGTATGTTGAATAAAAATTGAGAGACAAACTACAAGTGCTTACTCATTGCTAAGGGACTCTGTCTACAAGCATCGTCTATCAATTATACGTGCCTTTGATTGAGATCGCCTCGAGTATCGTGCCTTTCCGATTATTTTCTCATACAGGTACAAATTAATATCATCCGCGTGTGTACGTGTCATTGCTGCGATTCCGACATTTTTTCTCTTCCACGCTCACATTGTCTTTAAAAATTTCATAACAGCGTCGTCAGACTAGAATAAGATCGTGCGTGATGCCAAGAAATAAAAAGTGAACGAAACCTGTATAAGTACTTCTCAATACGTTTATGTCCGTCACCTTTTCTTTCTCAATACACCGGACTGATATTGTGAGTGAAGCTGATCATATAAAGCAATGAAAGTGAGAACATTGTTACTTTCTACCAGGGAACATATTGACGTAACATCTGGCGATTTTTATGTAATTTTGATAGAAAGTAGCTTTTAGAAAAATAGTTGACAAGTATTTTTTTTACTAGTCATCATTCATGTAGATGAAATATCTTTGAGATTACTGTAGTTAAAACTCTGTAACAGACAGCATGGTGTATTTTTTAATATGGACTCTAGCTATGCAACCAGATTTTAGAAAGCCTCATTTATTTAAATAATACATTAAAAAACGTTGTATTATTTCTCTGCTCAAATGTTCATACATTTGACTGTATATTTGCGTATAAAAAGTATCCATAAAAGAATATGCAGATGAGGAATATAAACAAATTAACATTTGAATTTTTGTATTATAAAAAAAGCTTTTATAATTAAGTTTTCATTGTATCTTAAGCTATTGTGATTGAAGTTGGTTTTTATATTTTCTCTAACTTCAATAGTATCCAAGATTTGTAACCACATATACTTCTTACCCTAAAGTTTGAGGATTGTTTTTATCCCTTTAATATGAATGATGGACGCTAAAAAAATATGTGTTAAATATTTCTCCAGGAATTGTAGTTTAACAAAGTTTCATGGAAATAGATGAATGTCATTTCAGTATGTTCCCTTGCTAGAAGATGTGTTGGTCCTAGAACTATGCAGTGGTTACAATCGAATAGTGGTATTTTTAATTCGTTCCAAAAGGAATCACGTTCAAAAGTGAATTGGTGGTGATAATTTTAAAATGGCTGTCATTGCTCCGATCAGTGCTTGTTGTAGAATATGATATCTAACCATATAATAAGTTTTAATGTTAAATTGTTTAAAATGTGAAACTCCAATTCCGAATGTGATTCCAAAAACGGAATGAAAAATGATACCGCTTGATTTCTTCTAATGAGTACTACCCACAAATGCATAAAAATTTTAGGGCTAATATGTTCCGCAAAAGTTTCTATGTTCTTTCCATTCGTTCTCATAATTTTCGATGTTTCTCGTCGGGGCTATCCAATTGGGGACTTGATTCGGAGCTTCGTCGCTCGAACGGTACATATAACTACGACATAGTTGCAATTTTGGTAGTGATGCGAAGTAATAAAACCTTGTTATAGATAACGGTCACCATCTTTGTTTTCTTCTTGTCTATTAGCAGAAGAATGAAGGGAAGTAGCGGGCAAAGGTCTACGGTTCCAATTAATGTGAACATATCTCGAAGCGCCGGACGATTGCCCTTTCACTGATTTGCATCCAGAGACAGACTCCGATGCTTAGCTGAACGAATTACCTTCTTTGTTAGACCGATGCTCAAACAGAAGAAAAGGAATAATACGAACAAATGTTAGGGATGAATGAACCGTTAGAAGAAAATCGAAAGATTCGCGAATACAGAAGAACATGAAGGGTACTGTCGACCGTGTGATGGTATTTTAATTGTGATGAGATGTGTAATCCTAGTCTTTGCAGGCCGATGGGTCTTGCAATTATTTTAAGAATCTGTTGTGTAATAAATAACTCGTGATTTTAAATATTTCATTATCCAGTATGTACATATACATAGCTTTCTGTTTCTTTTTCTTTCCGTACATATATATATATATATACGGAATATATTATATACATATATGTATATAATAATGAGGTTCTCAAAGCAGTCAGGAGACGAGGAGGAAAATACATTTAAATGACAATGGGTTGCAACGTCCATAAATTTTCATATAATTTCTACATATATTTCTTTCCGGCAGTATTATTTACAAAAATGTTCCACCTCCTACGAAGTCTTGATAATTCAGTCTTGACACAAGTTATACGTGTACATGATCCCAATCGTTATATTCCTTTATCGATTATATTAAGAATCCATTCGTTTCTTTTTTGAAGCTTTCAATTTGTTATAAATTATGCTTGTAAATTTGAAGTTATTTCTTTTACCCGCGCGTTTTAATGTATGCACTTAGAAAACGAAATTTTGAAAATGTGCTGCAATTTATTCGTTGAACGGTCTCGTTAATATCGTCGACGGATTCAATCGAGTGTGGATAAAGAAAATTGTCTTTTCGTTTCGCTAGAAAGTGGAAATCGAACGCCTCGAAATTGAATTTGTTTGTATACAATGGTAAACTCTCGCTTCGAATCGATATTTCCTGTCCATCGTCTTCCACGCTGCTCTATGCGATCTTGACTGCAAACATTTTTATAAATTTCTGCATGAATCACCCTTGTCGCGAGTATCGACGCTCATCTTTCGGCTGGGAAGATCGGAGGAACGGTTTTTCGTTACACTGTCATCGGTCTATTGCAATCCATAAAGAATCACACACCTCTTAACCTTTACGTTGGCAACCAAAATGTCTGCAACTAGTCAAATTTTAATATTACAATATTTTTGCGTAAATTCTTCACTTTCGAAGTAGAAATCGATGTAAAAATGTTCAGACAATGTAGATGCAAAGCAATTTTTCACGAGAACGGAACAAAATTAAATAGAAAAGGGTTTCGAAACGGGTATTCAGATTCCCGGTTGACAACGTACGGGTTGATATAATATAAAGAGTCATACACCTCTTGGGTTAAGATATTGTTACAGTTTTTCTATGTTTCTATCTTCTTTCGGTCTTGCTATTCTGTCACATTGCTGCGGAAACAAGGGGGTGCGTGTGTATGTAAAAAATTGAATACAAGTTTAATACGAAAACATTTACCAAATCAAAGACTCTTGTAAATATTCACACGAAACACGAAAAATATACGAGGAGTGGAACAAACATTTAATCAGTGTGTTTAATTCTCATTACATTTTTAAAAAGATTCTAAAAAACCCCTAAATAATTCTTGCCGTTCGTCCAGCGAATCGGTCACTTTCTCGCGGCAAGAATTATTCGAACAGCATGTACAAAAGGTTTGAAAAAAGGTGGTTTAGAGGTGCATTTCTCTTCGGAGAGGCTTGCGAAACGTAAAATCATGTTTGCGCAGTCTTATCAACTACGGTGACAATTTATACAATGTTTAACGAGTTTCGGAAACACGAGATTAAGAGTTAAAACGGTTGTTCAAAGATGCTTGCTCAAGACTTCATTCTTATATACGACGTGTACCGATTCGTGAGTCGTTTAAATTTATAATTAATCGAACAGTGAGCCCGCCAAGGACTTTCTAAAATATTTTGTGGCAAATACAAACGACTCACACACACGTTGTATCGAGAGGATTTGAACATGAGTCGTTGGCTTTTTGATTTAACGAACAACGACCAATAAGATTATTCGCGTGCTCGGGAGCGTAATACTGTAATTACGAGAAAAATTTCGAGTCCTTTTGTAGGTGAATTAAACGAGCACGCGGTGAAACGCTTCGAAGTTTGGTGTTTACATTTTTCCAAACAAGATTACGCAGAGACGATCGTTTCACGTAAGAATTTTCGATAGGTACGGCCTAATGCGTTGAACAGATACAAACCAAATATTGCGAATCTATCTGAACATTGATCCAAAAAGATATTCCTTATAGCGTTCTGCTCCAAAAGATACGTGTGTCGAGCACAACTTGCATAAACTTTGCATAAACACACAAGAAGGACGCGCACGACCTACGTATGTAACTTACAGAAAGAAATTGTAAAAATCACTTATGTGCAAACAGCAGAGTACAAAATATAACAAAGGTAGTATTTACAAAGTCGTAAGATTAAACGTTAGCTTAGCGAATTCTGTAGTGCCGTCTGTTTATGTCACACCGATATTCGCACGGTACGATCGTGTAAAATTGCTGAAAATGAAATGTTTCATGTTTTCGCTTACGATGTGCTTTTTTTCCTGTTGACCAGCCAGTGTTACACGTTTCCGACTATTAATGACGAATATTTGTACACGGTAATTTACCAACAACTGCCATTTCACATTATTCACCTGTACAATAAAATGAAGGGTTAAAAACTGTTTCATGCAGTTTTAAAAAATTTCGATCACACGGTGATCTCATCTCAAGAAATCTACACAACGCATGATTATGTAACAAATGATTAAAATTTCTTTTATTTTAAATATATATATATATCATCACTTCGTATGACAGTTTTTGGTACATTACTCCTGTAAAATTACTAGTGCATTCAGTTTCGAAACGTTAATCTTACTGCAATATATGAAAATCAGTTAAGTGTATTATACTTACAATATCTTTTCTTTAGTTAACGAGATATCATAGATACCATATATTTTTTTCTCAATTTGTAATTCTTAAATAACGATTAACCGTAGAAATTGTGTCCGCGCACAGTGCTTTCTTTTCAGAGATGGTTAAGCTCGAGTCGCCGAGGATCACGAAACACATTTACAATATCTTTCCTTTTTCTCGCTCGATAGATTAAAAGGGTGAGAGTGACACTAAACACAGACGCTTGAAAACTTGCTGTTTGTACTACAATGATCATGACGAATTTGAAAGTCTGCCATTCACTTAACTAAAACGCCCACGATACGATGGATTACACGAGAATCATTTATTTTCCTTAGGAATAAGCTAGCACGTAAAAAAGTTTGGATTTTCCATATCAATGTTGAGTGATTTTTGAAAGGTGGATCATCAATTGGAGTACTTTTTTGGCGAGTACAGGTGAGCACAGCTTGTATCAAGCTTTTTATTTCCTAATACCGTAGATCGTTGGAACAATCTTAGATAAAAGGATCTACGGTCTCCTAGGTGAATGGAACTCGAACGACGATCCGCCCCGAGAACGCTCAACATTGATGTCAATGACATAAAAACGGTATAACGACAATTTTTACAATGAATATGATGTGTACAATATGTAAAGAATCATACGTGAATAATCCCCTCCTTTTGTAATTTCATGCTCCCTGCCTGTACACTGTGTGAACATCGTTTATGCTCAAAATAAATACGCAATTTACAATAACAATTCACGGTATAAGTCATCAAGCTTATAAAATAGTACGAATATTCATCTTCAAGAATAACTTGAATCCACCATAAATATATAATGTTGCCCTAGGAGACATAAGGTGCATCTAAGGAACGGCGAGCCGTTCGTTGTCGTGTTTTTCAAAATGGAAAATTATGGAAAAGGGGGTTGGGGGAGTAAAGGGAGGCTGCCCGTATATTAATACATGATTAATAGTTTACGTTATAACTCTAAATCATATCCTGACACTATCAACTGGTGTCTGTACGCATGAAAAAACAAACCTCTTTAAAGTATTTGGGAAATAGCACACGATTTGCAAAGTATGTGTACAATACGAATGAACGATGAAGAAAGAAAAGGAAAAAATATAGGGAGCAGTGATTTCTCACAAGCGGAAATCATTGTTCCGCTGAGACGATTCGGAATTCTTATTTACAGTATCAGCCTTATTTATTCTTGTACATAGGGAAATGGAACTAGACGATCTATCCATATATATATATATTCACGTGTATATATATAGATTTATTTAATCGCGGCTGTTGAAAAATGCTAACGACTATTCGAAACAACGAGCTTACGCGCACGGGAAGTGCAGCCGGCGACGCGCCATTTTGTGACCGCCATTTATTCAGGCAGTTGAGGTAGTGAATTCCGGAGACAACACAGCGTCACGTAGCTGAACTTGAGCCGATTATCGTGTACTGCAGTAATAATTGTATGTAATAGCTGTAATTATTATGCATACAGGAGTGAAATTTGTACAGAAAGCATTTTAAAAGGCAGACATTACTTGTGAAGAGGGACTGTTATTTATCAGAAACTGATGAGACCGTCTCGTATGCTAAGCAATGTGGACTGGTTCTATTAGTTTTTAGATTGCAAAACCATAATCAAGTATCACATAAACTGGAAAGGTATTCCAGGCTTATATCGAAAATCAAACTGATTGGAGTGGCTATAAAAAGGACTAAAGTTTATAGAATTTTCACTCAATGATAGTTACAATGCCTTCTGGCTGTATCACAATAAACACAAAAAGAGTCAACTAATTTTATGGTAGTTCTGATGACCACAGTTCATAGAATATAGGGCAGATTGTTGCATTCATCAAACGCTGAAGATAATAACAGTACGAAATTTCATGCTGCAATTTAGGATAATACTCACTACTATTTGCTATTGGCAAATAGAATGTAGTATGCATACCTATGTAAATGGTACTCAATAACAGAAGGTATGTGGAGTCAATGTTTGACTTGCATCCTAGAAAATGAATGTCATGGACGAACTGGTTATTGTAACCAACTGCCACGTTAGTAGAGGAATTTAAATCATTTAGTCCAGAAAAATATGCAAATTTGAATGGCACACAACCTTGATATAACAATGGATAGCATTCGATATTATTGGCTGTACCTCATAAGATGCAAAAACTTTAGTAGGATGACCAAGTGATTTAAATTAATTGACATTAACATGTAAAATTAGATAGTTATTACAATCCAAAAAATGTACAGGATCATTAACTGATAGATAGTTTGACTGATAGTTACTAGTTAAAATTCGAATGCAAAACTAAACTTCGAGATGCGATTTATCTTCCCTTGGATGTTTTTGTATTTGAAGAAATGATAATGAGTATGCGAAACAACGACCTTATTCATAGATGCTGAACATGTCCATATAGAATGCGCGTTTGTAACTTTTTATGCGCATCGTTTCAACTTATATATTTTACCACATTTTTTTTACTGATGAATTGTAAATTCATTCGCACGATTATGCTTATTCATTCTTTTGTCAACGTGTAGCTTTTAGCTACATCGCCATTTACTTATAATTGCGCATCAGGTAATCGCGGGAATTATTATGCTACTCTGATCAATAGATACTAAAGCTTAAGTGCAATTAAATAAAGTAATATAAAGTAACATAATATTGGGTGGATAACGAGGCCAGTAAAGTCTAAAAATTCGCAATAACAGAACGGTTGTAAACACAAAATACAACATTCCTTTATTCACTTAATGGGATCGATAATATCGACCTCACTTAGTGAAACAAGAGGATAGTTTTGTTTACATTAATATTTCTCGATAAAGTAAAAAATTTGTAAAAATAACAAATTAATATGTAAAATGCATGCATGTGTTACAAATAGTGCATACATATATATATATATATGTATATATGTATATGTATATGTATATATATATGTATATATGTATATATAACAAAATTAGCAGTTCACACATTTACGAATGCATTTTTCTTTTAAAAGAAAAAGAGATTGATAATGTATTCATGATTCGAGACAATTTACAATTTGATTGTTACCGTACTCGTGTAACAATAATAAAAGTTAGATACAATCATGTATCTAATATTTTTTTTAATAGTACGTTTTTTAATAGTACGTTCTTTCTTTTGGAAACATCTTTTTGTGTAAGATATATATTTTGTACTGCCAATTTGCTCTTACCAGTAAGATTCAAATTGAATTTCAATGGCATTATACTTTTCTCTTGTATTAGTTCACATCCTAAAGCGAGTAGGATGTTTAAACAAAACTGGTGCTGTATCCATCCGATATATATGCTTATATACTGCGATTTATTCGACATGGAAATAGTTCATGATTTTGGCCATGCAATGACCTGATAAAACAGTGTTGAAGCCCAGACAAACAGCACGGCCATTTTTAAATTGACTCCACACTATTTACAAGTTACCTATCATAAACTTTAAAAATTGCGCAACATTGGACCTTCGAATATGTAACACGGACACGATCGTCTTTTATAACACGATTCACATTCGTAAATTCGTGGATACCATTAACGAAGTGTAACGATCGATCATGTTTGCGCCAAGAATCAAGTTGGATACAACGTCCATAATCCGTTCGTGCAATACAGAGTCTACACCTCTATGCAGCATAGAATTTATATGCTGACTATTTTGTCTATGTTTTGTTCACGATACTGTTCCTCTTTTTTCTATGCAAAGAGATTGAAGTTTCCGTGATCGATGTAATCCTTTTTCGTAATAATAGATGAATATTTTTTCCTTGCTGAGTGGCAAAATAATACAAATAGTCATCGTTGTATTGTTCTCGATTGTTGATGTGTAACTAGAAGTCATTTCTTCATTTACCATATTGTCACTGGTATTTTAAAGAGGACTAAGTTGCTGTACATCACTGGAATAATCAACGTACAATTTCACTTCAGCAGTTTCAATTTCAGTTTTCCTTTTAGTGCACTGTTCTTCTATGTAGAATCATAGCTTCTTTTGATGTGTTTGACCCTGGTTTTGTTGCTTGTTTGGAAACAACATTTTAGGCTACACACTTTAAGTAATATTTTTTAATATTTTTTTACACCCCAATGTTGTGATTACGTGATATCGTGATATGATTATGGAGATCTTGCGTTAGCGTTTTAAGGTCTTGTTTCTGTCTGTTATGTTCGGCCTGTAATAAAAAGAAACAGTGTTTTATTTTTTCTCGTATGATAGTATTATCTCTGCGTTACAACAAATTTTTATAATTACCTTTAACGTTTTCAAACTTGCCATTTTGGCAGGGTTCGTCATATTTCGTGCTAGGATATTCACTTGTGATTCCCGTAACGCCATGTTCTCGCTCAGCTGTATGTGTTCCCTCATTAGCTGCTCACTGAGTGCCTGTATCATAAAACAATATTAATCTTATACTAACCATTTTGACCATTTATATGTTCGGTCTAATAATAATAATAATAATAATACTAAATGAGTTTATTTAAGCAAACACTAATAATGAATAAAGAATTTATAAGTTCAGCGATGCTTTAAACAGAAAATCTATCATTAGAATGTGTGCAACGAAATTTAAATTTTAATCTAAGTGAAATCGTTCACTTAAATAGAGGAGCCCATTTAATTTACAATTAAAATGGTTTTATGTTTCAGAATTAACAAAATTTACATGCAATAATCAATACATTCTTTCACTATATTAGACGATGTATACTTACATTATCTTCTAGTTCAGGTACCCTAGTCCCATTGAAGGTATCTAAAAATGTAAGTTAAAATCCAGTTCATTTACACGAACTAAAATGTACAATTTGTGATAAGAAAGCAGACATTATGATGCGAAGAAAGGTTATTCACACTGCTTGTTTCTTTTACATTCCTTCCTCTTAATTAATACATTTTCTCAAGTAATTTTTAAGGAGTAACAGGGTCAAGCAGAGAAAGTAAAATATCTTCCCACTATTATTTCAAATTCAAGGTTATACATTATATATCTATACGTACCATTAGAATGAACTTCACTTCCTAAGATCATCTTTACTATGAGATCTGAAACAACAAACAAAAAACATTTATTAAAAAAGAAGAATTACTACAAGGTAGTGATTTAATATTTATTAAAATAACAAAATTTATAAATGAAAATAATGAAATCAATAAGGTAAAAATACCTTGGTCGGGAAATTTTTCATCATCGTAACGTGAGTTAATTAGGTCAGTCAATGAATTTAAGTCCTGATAATCCTGAGGTTCGTCAACGAATAGTTCGGGATCAACGTAGGAAACATTTTGCGGATCTTCAGTAGTATCTACAGCAACGTAAGAAGTGCTACTATGCCTTTTCTTGTTAGAAGTTATCCTGTCATTTTCCTCGTTGTGTTTCCTTTTGCTGGAGTAGTGACTTTGTTTAGAATCAGGGATGATAATATCGTCAACGATGCTATTTACAATGGGTTCTTCAACTACACTTCCAGGATTCAATATGTCTATACTTAGAGGAATGTCCAAATCAGATGTTTCAGGATCGCGTGGAAGATTTATGTACGGTTCCACAGTCGTGTCATTTGTAGCAATAATGGTATTGACATCTTCAGATATTGTTTCCTCTTCTTTGATTTTGATGCTCATCAATTTCCCTGATGACCCAGGACTGTCTTGTCGTTCGTTCAGGTGAACCAGTTGTTTATTGTTACTTTTTGCTTCGTCCTTTGTGTTCCGATCATCTTTGCCTTGCACCATCAAACAGTGATCTATAGACTTAATGCCGATTTTGCTGGCTTGTGCAGCAACAGGTGGTAAATGCTGCGAGACTATAGCAGCTTTCACGTATTGTTCGTCTGGTACAGGTGACGTTGAAAGACGAATATCTGAAACGGATGTTGATAAGGCGCTGACCAAATGCGCGATGGCGTCTTCAACTACGGTGGGATCTCCTACGCTACTCCTTGTACTGGACTGCTGGGAATCTGAACCCTAGAATATCATATAAATATGATTTTATAACATTATTATAAATACGACTTCTTAATATTTGTTTCAATATATAAGGTGTTTCTCGAAATATTATATATATATATAATAGTTATTTTTTAGTATTATTTTCAAATTAATTTGTTCCATTCAAGTAATTTCAAATCTCAAACATACTGAAATATATAATATTATTTGCGTTAAGTATACGTTACTTATGTAATTATCTTTATTAGAAAATTTACCATTTCAAGTGCAGGAATATCATCCCTATTTTGGATCATTTCCCATGTAGATTCGGATAATGTTGCTGAGAATCTTTTCTTCATTTGTTGTACTAGTTGTTCACCCTCTTCCTCCCTAAAACAAGAATTTTTAGTTTTATTATAAATACGCAAGACAATCGGAAAATTATGAAATTCAAAATTATGTTAAAAATATTCATAAATAAAAACTAAAGGTAAGATATAAAATTGTAAAATAATTTTTGAAAATTGCAAGAAACTTACGACATTAGTGTATTTATGCACACAAAAGATACAACAGTTTGTGTGTCCTCGTCTAGCTCTAAGTACCCGTGACTACGTAAATAAATAAATTCTCCTGTTTTTGACAGTAGCCTGTAACACGATGATCCGCAAGTTTCCGCGCGAACGTACACTGTGAACAATATTAATTCAGATTATCAGAAAATCAATATAATTAAATACAATTACAGTGGAACCTCGATTATTCGCTGCAATTGGAGGAATAACAATCCGAATCAATTCTTCAATGTACTTCAATGCATATTTATATATATACAAGGTGCCCCAGGTTTTAATGTTCAAACCTTGTCAGTATATTCTATGGTACTAAATAAGAAAAAAATGTTATGTAAACATAGCTCACAGAGCGCTTCATTAAAATGTTATAATAAAAACACGGAATACAATTAATATAGGCATAGTAACTGACTTGCTGTCACTACGAGTATTGGCTCAAATAGATCAGTGTATTTATTACTTGACATTCGTTCATTAACACAGTTTACATAACCACAGTGAATGTAAATATTGCTGATCTATTCGAGCCAATGCTCGCAGTGACAGCAAGTCAGTTACTATGCCTATATTAATTGTATTCTGTGTTTTTGTTATAACATTTTAATGAAGTGCTCTGTGAGCTATGTTTACATAACACTCTTTTAATAACATAACACTTTTTTCTTATTTAGTGCTATAGAATATACTGACAAAGTTTGAATATTAAAACCTGGGACACCTTATACATATATATTATCCAAAGCTCGAAAACTAAAGTACATTGGACGTATATGTTCATACATTTTTTATTTATTTTGGCGTATAGGTTTATCCCCTTAAGTATAGTCGTGTATTCCTGAATCATCCTGTACATCCTGAGGCATAATCAAAGAATCTAAATTATTAAATGAATAATCAAGACTTTAAACGACAGAGAGCGCGAAAAATAATAAATCGGTCAATCGAGGTCCAACTGCAATAAACAACGAATGAAACAAAATAATTAACGTGATCTTACTTTGACGAAGCGCGATCATTGCCCACCAAAGATCGTCTTTGTGCATGAAATTGAAGGCGCTCAGACCTGAGACTTCCTCCGCTAAGTAACCAGCTACCACGGACACCCTGTGGTCGCAGTAAAGGATTCTGCCATCCACCAAATGCCGAGTGAGGTATTCGTCTTTATTTGCATCTATTATTGATATTCCAGTGATTGGTCGTTTCATCAGCAATCGCGCTACACCCACGAAGATAATGTCGTTGCTGGTTGAACCGATTTCTGTAAAATTACAGTCGATAACTAATCTTTTTCGACGAAGGAAAATATTTTGAATTCGTATCCTCATCATTTGCTTTCGATTTAACAACGATTGTGAATACAGGTATTTAACTTTTTGAGAACAAATGTAATGCTGACGACTTCAGGTTTTCATATGCAGAATTCAACGTTACAAATAAGTAATTTAATTATTTGAACAATACAAAATGTTACATAGTTCTCTCTTTTCCTAGTACTTAAAAGTTCGATATGTGATTAATTAAGGATAGTGTTTTCTAAGAAAAGGTTTTTAATACTTTCAATACTTGTCTAAAAACTCATTGAGAAATGTGATTTAAAAAATATAGCAAGTAAGAACTATGCGGAAAGTATATTCAACGAATGAATATATTGTATAATATCATTGGATTAAATTTTCATTGGTAACTGTGTGTGCATTTTTTGCGTTTTATACACACGGTGGCCTATGCCATCTGATTATAATGAAATTTATTCCAATTATAATGATCAAAATACTCGTTACTAAAGGTGCTCATTCAGAAAACTCATGTGACGTTAAATAATAATTATTAAATTCATTTTATTATTTCAATACTGTCATGGATAGTTACATCTTTTCAGTAGTTGGAAGATTTGTAAATGACACTAAAAGGTAACTATTTTGTTACTTTCATTTTCTTACAATTTAAATATAGTAAGGTTTATACATATACTCATTTCTTTGAAAATGATTCTGCATTCAACCTTGCAAGACCATTCACAGTGTATATAATTATTATTTTGAACATTTAAAGGATATTTTATCATACCATTCGAACTGTACAGAAATACGTAGTCAAAGTATCGAGAAAAATAAAATAGAATTTCAATATTACACACGATAAAGTCGCATCAGATTCGAATACGAACGTACGTTCACATTTTCATATTTTCATTCGTAGCATGGAAATTAAAAAATCGACGTTAACGCTTGTGACTGCGCCTACACCTTTCGCAGTCGATGGGGACGGTCTAAATTTAAATGCGTAGCTAGGGTAAATATTTGCGATAGCCCGGTTCAAACCAACTTTACCGGTTCCGAGGTGTCGTGATAAAAGGGGAACAGTGGTCCGTGGATTCTGAATCGATTCGATCTCGTTTCGCTTGATAAAATTAATATTTATACGCCGGGACAAAAAAATAACACTTCGAAAGAAGTCCACTTAGGTAATGATAAATTCGTGTGCGATATGGAACGTGGATCACGCCCTTGCTCGTAGTTAGCTCGTATTAATGGCGCAGAATGATTTGCGATGTTGCTTGAGTCGTGCCTCGAGAAACTTCTACCAAAGAGATTAAAAGTTCTCCGATACTTTTTCGTAATAACAACATGAATAATTGAGAGACACTATTATATAGATATATAACGATGTCATTTGGTTATGGGACTTAACAATTACAGATTTAAATATTTTTAACACCAGAACAATCAGATAGGTCAAAATGACCCATTTTGGGTCTCTTCTTTCGTAATTATGGAAAAGGCACAGGCGATTTTCTGAAAAATTATTCAATAAATTGATTTATATAAATACACACGAGAATATATGGAAATTGAAAACTCAATAAACGTATTTTTATAAATTTTATAAGAAAATACAGAATAATCAATTTTACTGGTAAAAGACAAATCTTTTTAAAATGAGCATTTGCTACTTGTTTCATGAACAATAAAGTGTATTAAAGATTTCAAGTTTTTATGAATTAATATGAAAATTTAATGTGCTAAATAACGCAATGTGGTTTTTACTGTAATTAAAAGTATTAACTCGGTTTCATTGTATCTTCTGAACTGCGAGTGCAAATATGTATGCATATTTATTTTAATTATGCATGCTTATTTTAATTATTCCATTACTTTCAATTCCAATACTATTACTATTGAGTCACTTGTTTGCGGTAATAATGTGTAAATTTGAAACAACAGTGTTATTATAAATATTTAATTAATATCGAAGCAGCTTAAAGAATTTAGTTACGAACAACAGCTTTATAATATCGTATTATCAGATTTTCAATTTTAGGTGAATATTTAATTTGAGTTGTTTATCCGGTGGTTAATTTTGTAATTTTTAAATCCATTTTTAAGAAGATGGGATGAGTGGGTTAAGTGAAAATATTTTCTACATTTGTTGTTTTTGAACTCATTATAGATTTAAACGTTCAAGTCGGTGCAAATATTTGAGAGTTTGATGGAGATTCTATCAAAGATTCAGCGGTTTCAAAGTGATTTACACGCTACAAAGAACTCAATTTTAATTCCAGTAATACGAAAGCTGCATGTAAAATTAAAAGTTTGATGATTTAAGCTTTAGATATGAGTTTTCATTTCAAAAAAATTTTATTTAAATATGTTCTATCAACAGTCAGTTGAATATAGATTTATTTGAGGAATTTTTAAATTTTGTTCGACAAGAACGTTTTAAACGGATAAATATTATATCATTTGTTCAGTTATTTTTTTAACATAGAATAATATGCCACCAATTTTCATGTTTACAGTCAGTCGAGTCAACAGAGTGCACGTGCTCTCCACACATATCAATCTCAATTTTGTCATAAACAAGGTTTTAAATGAAGAAAAAATTTACTCTATGTTTTTGACTAATTATTTTTATAGAATTATATTTTTTTAGATTAACCTTTGAACATTAGTTTTTGTTATTTTTCTACCTTTTAACATTGATTCCCAGAAGAAAATATAAAAATAGGTATCTGGTTATCCAGTTTTTAACATAAGGATTGAACTTGATATATTTAACATACATTGGTTACATCTTATTTACGAAGTGTATTAACTTCCGTCATAAAATATTTAGTTATATCCTGTAACTTTTTGGTGTTTCTCATATATTTTTATGTAACCTTCCTATATTTTTTATGTTTTTATAACTTTGTGCCACTATTTATGGCTCAAATAATTTTTTTACGATCCACGAAGTGATGGCACTAAACGTGTTAACAAGTGTCCAGCAGTGTCTCAAATAAATTTAATTTCGTAAAAAATAAAAACGCTACAACTATTTGCACCGACTTGAACGTTTAAATCTAAAATGAGTTCAAAAACAACAAATGCAGAAAATATTTTCACTTAACCCACCCATCCCATCTTCTTAAAAATGGTACATACATACTTAAAAATATTTATATTAAAATTTTCATATAAAATATTAAACATTTATATTCATGTAACCTTAATTGGTTCGTTACTATATAAGTTATTCACCTTAAAGTGCATTCTTACCTCGATGTTTCGTCCGGCTGACTTGCGATTCAGGATTTTTGCAGGTGTCCGCGAGCCTGAGCTTCCCCGTGATCTCGAACCATTCGTATTGCGTGTGTTCCCTTCGGGACGCCGTGCGGTGCAACATTCTTAATTCGAAAGTCCGCCGCTGCTCTCGGAACGGTTTCCTTTCGTTTCTCAGAGACGATGAGTCCTCCGAGGAAGTAGAATTATCGTTCGACGTGTCCGTAAGCTGTGGTATCGACGAAGACGACGACACTACTCCTGGAACGTCGTCCGGAGTGAGATTATGCGTGAGTTCGTCGCGGTCATTCGGGTGGATGAAATCGTACAGAGAGTAGCCCAGAAGGTCCGCCTGTAATGTTATTCGATTGAGAATAATATATGTATGCTGGTATCCAACTGTTAGATATGGATGTTCAACCCTGAATAACAAATATAAACAACAAAATAGAACGACCAAAGTCACTGTTGTAGTACGATGAACGGAAGAAATTTGTATAAAAATGTGATTAGGGTGTTATTTGATGAAAAGTGAGTTATTCGATTGAGAATAATGTATGTTTTTATTGAAGTAGTAGATTCGGATGTTGAATCCTGAATAACGAATATAAATAACAAAATGGGATAACCGAAATCACTGTTGTAGTATGATGAACGCAAGAAATTTGTATAAAAATGTGATTAGAGTGTGTTATTTGATGAAGAATCAGTTGTCGCCAGGGATTGAAAACAGTTATGACATTGATTTCGGTTCTTGAAACAATTACAGAGAACCGAAATTAGTTTCTGTAAGTATTGTTCGGTATATTGATTCTAAACTTTATCGGTTTCGGTTCCGTTTCTTTATAACTGATATTATATCGATATTATATCGGTTCCGAGATAGTTTTATAACTGTTAGTTTTCGGTTCTTTATAACTGTTTCAGAAATTGAAAAATAACAGTTATAGAACTATTATTTTTTGATTCGTCATAACTGTTTCAAAAACCGAAAAGTAATAGTTATAGCACCGTTTCAGAAACGATATAATATCAGCTCAGAAGAGCCGGAACCGAAACCGATATAGCTGAGAATTATGATTATGATTTATTTCGGATCTTCATAACTGTTGTAGTTGGAACCGATATATACACAGTCCGTCCCACAGGAAAGGTGACTGATTTTATATTCACGTAAATACTAATGCTGTCTGTGAACGGATGCATAAATTAACTAGCGTGGTATATCGACTACCTTTTGTTTAATAAAAATTTCGGTAATAACCGAAACTTTAACACTATGTATTGAACTTCGGTCGTGAAAGGAGCAATGGAGCAACGTGCAAACATTAAGTTTTGTTTTAAATTGGGTAAAAGTGCCACAGACACTTTTGAAATGATACAAACTGTTTATGGTAGTGAAGCAATGAGTCGTAAAAACGTTTTTAAGTGGTATGCAAGGTTTCGTGATGGTAGGGAGAGCATTGAAGATGATCCACGTCCAGGAGCATCATCGACAGTTCGAGTCGAAGAAAATGTTCAAAAAGTGGCTGAAATTCTTCGAAATGATCGTTGTGCATCTACCAGGTTAATTGAGGAGCTCACTGGAATTCCTAAAACGACTGTGCATCGCATTCTAACTGAAAATTTGGGCAAAAAGAAGATCTGTTGTCGCTTTGTACCCCACTCACTCACTGACGATCAAACAGATTACAGAGTGAAACACTGCAGAGACATGAAAAAATCGGCCGCTAGGGATCCAGACTTCATGTCTTGCATCGTAACAGGTGATGAAACATGGTGTTTCCAGTACGAGCCACTTACAAAGCGCCAAAGCTCGGAATGGAAAAGTCCAGAATCTCCGAGACCGAAAAAACTGCGCATGCAGAAAAGCCGCGTCAAGACACTGCTCACAGTTTTCTTTGATTCAAAGGGAATTATCCATAAAGAATTCGCTCCAGAAGGTCAAATGGTGAATGCAGATTACTACGTGGGGTGTTCTAAATCGTTTATGGGCGAGGATTGTTCGGGTTCGACCTGAATACCGGAATCAAGGAACATGGTGTTTGTTGCACGACAATGCACCGGCGCACAAAAGCAAGATCGCATGCGATTTCTTGGCTCAAAAAAGTATCGTGGTGCTTCAACACCCTCCTTATTCACCTGATTTGTCTCCGTGCGACTTCTGGTTATTTCCAAAACTGAAAATGGCAATGAAAGGAAAGCGTTTCGACACGATTTCAGATATCCAGAAGGCTACGACCATGGTACTGCAGGCAATTTCGAAGGTTGAGTATCAGAATTGTTTTGAAAAATTTTTACAACGCTTCCAGTTGTGTATTAACTCACAAGGAGCCTATTTTGAATAAAAGACCATATAAACTAAAAATAAACAACGTCTTGTGTTTTATTTCACATCAGTCACCTTTCCTGTGGGACGGACTGTGTAACAGTTTCAGTTATTCTCGGATCCCTTTCAATCCCTGGTTGTCGCTACAAGTGTGCGGGTACCTGAGATTTCGGGTTCGATTGGGATTAATAAAATGAGGCAGGTACCTCGTAACAAATGGATAACTAGGTAACTCGAAACATTCTGATAATTTGATATGTTGGATAATTTAATATCAACATTGATACTAAGGTTTGTAAATAATACCAGTAGAAATATTAAGGCATTCAGAAGCGTATACACTCGTCCCTCCATTTACGCGGTATATTTTTTACACGAGTCTCCTTTTTGCACAGTAAATTATAACACTATTTACGTGCTATTATTTATACGCGATGTCAATGTATGTGATTCGAATTTAACGACAACGAATGAAATTTACTTTTATTTTCTGAAATGTTATTATTATTATTTTTCGTTAAGCTATATAAAATAAATATGTATTTCTAAAACTTATATCAGCTTTTTTCCTACTATTTTGTTTCCGTTTGTACAGATAGATTATATTTACGCGATTTTCATTCGCGTAAAACGAATCCATGTGGAACTGATACTCCGCGTATTTTCATATCAAGGGACGGGTCAATTAGATATTATTAACAGTATAGTATAAGTATTATTAACATGGTCTATCAATAGTAGCTATTATCCATCTGTCTATCTGCCGCTCCACATATCTATTTATCTATTTACCCGTCTATTTATCGATAATAGAGATTTATTAACAGTAAGATACACGAAAATGTTGAGTAATCCAACAATATCGCGCTACCTGGAAATATCGAGTTATTCGAAATCTTCGAATTACTCGACAGTTTCGAGTCGCTCGAGTACCCGTTCGAGACTATCCGATTTTTTTTAAGCTCAAACACTCGGAAATCCGTGATTTCGGAAACTCGTACACCCTTACTTAACACTCGTTTGTAATTTAATTTTGTTCAATTTATGAATATGTTACAGAGAACATTTTTTTCCTATTTTAGATTTTGTATCGTAAATATTTTAATGCGTAAGGACATTCTAAATGTAATCTTCATAGCTAATTTGTTAGATTTATTCTATAATATAGAATTATTTCTATCATTTGCTTGCGACAACCTTTTACTATTTTGTATTGGATAAATGTTTGATGAGCTTTGTGTTGATCAATACGAAATGTTAATTTAAATATTATTTATTGAGTAATTCTGTTATTCGCGATATACTATAAAGAGTAGTACAATAGATTATTTGATAGAAAATATTGATCGGGTGATTTGCAATTGTAATCATCGATTATCGATGTAATTATAGTCCAACACTTAGACCTAACCCAAACTTAATCTTTAAAATCTGACGAACAATAGACTTGTACAGAGTTAATGATAGTTTTACATCATTAACATTATAAAACCTTTATCGTAAGATGCGCACGTCTGTTCAATTTCGATTTGCGTAAATTAATACGTAAAACCGTGGATTTGCGTAAATTAATACGCAAAACCGTGGATTTGCGTACATTAATGCGTAAAACCGTAGATTTGCATAAACATCAGCAGTCCAGTGATCAGGATCTGTTTACTCTTGGTTCAATCCAATAATCGTGGTAACGTGAAACCATGTTGTAGAAATAAATACATTGTTACATAGAGATTGTCTGTTAAATGGAAGGTGCTTTACCGTTTGATAAGGAACACTATGCAATCAAGCACACTGTTGATCATGTTAATGAAATTAAATTTAATATCGAACACCGTAGAACTTCCACAACTGAAAGTAATTAACAAGGATAGTACACAAAATGTTATATTAGAATATCTCTTAAAAGACACTACATTCGTGAGTTTAATTAAATTACTTAGGAAACAATGATAGGAAATCGCTGTTCAATGAAACTTACATTGAATATCGAAGTATTTTTATATCCATTTATATTCCGAAACGGAAAATAACAAAAATTTTATGAAACTATGTACATACAAGATGAATTAAATATTTTAATATGATTATTTAGAAACATTTGAAAACAGGAGTTAGTTATTTTAATTGGTAAACGGCTCATATAAATGAGCCATTCATTGGCCAAAGCGATTAACTCCACGAAACAAAAACAGGACAAGTATTATGAGCAGAGTGAATCCTACGATAGTCATCGATAACCGGATTTTCTGAATTACTCGAGAGCAATTACAATAAGAAGATTGCCATGAAAAATATTTAGTAACTTTTAGGTACTACAAATTTGTAGACAATTACAAAAATATTCAGCTGGTAGATAAAACGCTAAAAAATTCTCATGTTAACACGTTGACTTCACAATTACTGGAAAATAATTATAATTTCCGAGATAATTGACGTCGAATAAAAATGTTCGTTAGCATAAATAATTAGATAATGGAGCAAAATTAACATGACAATCTGACAACAAATAATTAATAATCTTCCTTTCTATTTTTGCTACAAGGGAATAAATGATACACAAAACGCTGAAGTTGTTTGTGGCAGCCAACGTGTTAACAAAATAATGTTCCAAAATTGCCTGTAACCGGGAAGAAAGAAACCAGACGAAGACAACATTCGATGAGCCGGCTAGTAATCGGCTAAAGAGAAACACCCTAACACTGTCCGACACAGCGACGAGCAAAAAGTGTCCATCCTATCGATCCACGTGGTTCCGTAGGAACCGTGGCGCTCCAGATTCGAGCATAACGATAATTCGACACTCGAGCATAACGAACCTGTCCGCCGGCCGAGTTTCTCGGCTTCGGGGCGTGAGGATACCGAGGGGGTTAGCCGGCGATACAGGAGAAAGAAGGAAACCCGGGGAACGTAGGCGGGGTGACGGTTGTTTGCGTGGGATCTCTAGGTTTTTTTTTAAGGAGATACTCACAATCAGGCTGTATTGTTCTCAAGGAGAAACTCCCCATGGCGAAAACGAGCCTCGT